TGGACGATGTGTCTTCTGCTGCAGCAATGCAGTTCTGCTTGTGTTGAGTGATGTAAACAACTAATCGATCTAAACTCTTTAAACGTCAAAACTGATCATTAGATTTTTTATGACACAACAGTGGTGAGTGTTCCCACCTTCTGCTCTTTGTAACTTAACGCGATCTTTCCGTTTTCGAGTTTAGGACATGATTTTGGAGTATATCTTCGCAGTGCGATTGACCGCAAAGTAAAGCTACCGGAAATGTACAACCCCACATCCGGTCTCAAACCAGGAAGTTAGCATTTTCTCGTGCACAGGCTCAATTGCAGCATAACTAAGGGAGGATTCAGGGTCACCTGATCCAGTCCTAACTATATGCTTTAGCAAAAAGGAAAGTTTGAAGCCTAATCTTAAAAGTAGAGATAGTTTTATTGAGCGTGCGGTTTATTGAAAATAAGGCTTAAACTGAAACAGGGTTGTTTTACAGCAGATCAAAAGTTTAGGACCACATGTGCAAATCTGTGAAAAAATGTGGATTCATTGTCATTTTCTAACAGTAGTCACGCTGTTATGACGTTCTGATGGCAAAGGCAAAAAAACGTTCCCTTTTTGAACGTGGTTGGGTTGTTGAACTGCATGAGCGGGGTCTGTCAATGCTGTGTCCACTCTCACAGCACTGCTGAGGTCAGACACAGTAAGATGGTTATTTGGAATTTCTTAAATGATCCTGAGTGTTATGGAACAAAAAAGGTCAAGTGGAAGACCCAAAAAATGTCACCAGCACTGAGCCGGAGGATCCAATCGGCTGTCCGCCAAGACACTGGGTGATCTTAGACCCAGATTAAGGCCGTTACTGGTGCCGACTGCAGCCTCTTAACCATCAGACGGCATCTGAGACTGAAGGGCTTCAAAGGCCTTGTCTCCTTGGACTCCAAAGAACCGACCGTTTGGACTTTGCAAGAGAACACCAAACATGGAACATTGAAAGATGGACGAAAGTTTGATTCTCTGATGAGAAAAAAATTAACCTTGATGGTCCTGATGGTTTCCATTGTTACTGGCATGACGAGCGGATCCCACCTGAGATGTTTTCTAGGTGCCACAGTAGAGGAGGCGCCATAATGGTCTGGGGTGCTTTTTCCTTCAGTTGAACAATGGAGCTTCAGGAGGTGCAGGGGCATCAAACGGCTGCTGGCTGTGTCCAGATGTTGCACAGAGCATCCCTCATGACTGAGGGCCCTCATCTGTGTGGTAACCACGGGATTTATCAACAGGACAACACTACGGCACACAGCGCCCGCAGGACAAGGGACTTCTTCCTGGAGAATAACATCACTCTGTTGGACCATCCTGCGTGTTCCTCTGATCTGATTGTTTTCAGGAAACTGCACGCTCAAAAAATGTTTTGTCTCACTCCCATTTCTTCTTGTTGCATGTTGAAGCTCTGCTTGGAACCTCGTTAAGATCCAAACATGCAATATATGATTTTTTATTTATTTATTTTTGCCATTTTTCAAGTGCACTTAAACTTTTAATCAGGACTGTACATTGAAAAGTTCACACAAATTATCACTACTTCAAATGAAAGGTTTATATGGAAGGAGCACCAGGTGATATTCATGTCTAAACTCACTGATGTGTTGGTCTGAAAAAAAGTTATACTTAATTTTTTACCACCATTTTTTACTGAAACAATAGAGACAACCAACCATATGGGGGGGATTGGTTGTCACAAAGTGTCAAAGCATCTTTAATTGTTGTTAGAATTCATTTCAAAAATGAAAAGTGTACCCATTTTGAACTGGCACCTTCATTTCCATTGTTAGTGAAGGATTTTTTGCAATTCATGCAAGAGTAAAAGGTGTGGCCCTACACAGTGCCCTTGTTTTTGGTGCCTTGTAATGTTACACAATAATAAGATAATAATGTATATTGAATTGTTTCAAATACAACTTCAAACATTGCCCATGATTCTAATTGAAATGACAAAGGAAAAAGTAGTTGAAGCATAGACCACAGAGCCACACAACAACCTTGGATTTGAGCTGGAAGCTGCTCAGCCAGCTCATGTGATAGCGCTGAAAGGACGTGAGTAAGCCAAACACACTCAAATTGAGTGTTGTTTGCTCCCCAGTAATGCCTGTGAGACACACTGACAAAAACACAAGGAAACAGAAAGAGATGTGGACAAGCAGGAGATGGGAGAGAGAGTCAGGAACAGACCGACTGACTGAGCATTGTGCAGTTTTGGCAGGATGGATCGATTGTTTTAAACACATGTTCAGATACACCGAACAGAAGCTCACACTGTGTATCCACGTAAGGATTGTATTACTCAGCTGTGTGGCCAGCTGTCTTTGTGGTGCACGTTAATCAGAGTAAACAGTGGTAAGCCATTAAGTTACATTACACTGCCATGAGTTCACAGAGCTTAAATGAGATGTCACACTAAGCTGGAAATTAAATATTATCATAAACAACAAAAAGTAACTTAAGACGTTTTGTTTGACAGGAAATTCACAGGTGCAGTGACAGACAGCGTTATCCAATGTCAGTGTGTCCTAAAACTCCCTCACACAAATGGAATGCAGCCCAGATTAAAAGCCTAACTCAAACCAATACATGCTGTTCACCTGTTATCAGAATCAGAATACTTATATATTGATCCCTAGGGGAAAATAGAGCACAGGCTCTCACACAAAAGATGAGAATCACCATAGCAGCTTGCAGTAGAGAAAGCATACACTGTCTGTAGGAACGATGGTATCATGATCCAGTGACACATTGTGTCGTCTATATCTGGATGAATGGAGCAGGGACTGATCAAACACATGAAGGTTAACATGTCAGGCACCTAAAACATTTTCCCATAACTGTACCATACAGGTTTGATATGCACATGTGGGCATTCCTCTTTACATGTATTTGAATATGACAATATATTAAAAGCACGCAGACAACATAGTATTGTCTAAGTCCATGCAGTATGTGCACGATCCTTTTGGACGACAACACTGAAAGAGGGTGTCAGCTGAAGTATTCTATACTTCATGACTATACTGTTTACTATATTTTATACTTCATATCCTAAACTTTTATATAGTCCCGTGTTTTTGAAAGAGACCAGGGATATCATGATACCACTGTTCTAACATGTTGTTACAGAACATATAATACTCCAAAAAAGTGAGAACTGGGAGTGATTTATTTGTTACATTACAGCGCTGTATTATTATTGTTACTATTCCCTTTTAATAATGATGTTCAGTTAATTGTCTCTCTAATTGGCTTTTTAATCACAGTTAGCTATTCATTAGTGTCATCAAGAGCACTCGCGAATAATCGAAATAATAATCATAAAAATAAGTCATGAGAATAAATAAATATAATACTAATTATGATAATTACTGCAATCCAACCCAGTTTTATTTATAACGCACTTTAAAATAGCCAGCACAGGACCAAAGTGCTGTACAGAAAGTAAGTTAAAAACAAGAGAATAAAGGAAAACAGCAAAAATAAATCAATAAAACTCATAATACATAAAAAATTAAAACAGCCATATAATAAAAAAATAAGATTAAATAGCATAGAAGGAACTAAAAACAACTAAAATAAAACTACAACTAAAACCAACATCTCACATGGTGTCAAAGGCAGTACAGAGGTGGGCTTTCAGGAGTGATTTAAAAAACAGGCAGCAAAGAGGTCTGTCTAATCTCTAAAGGCAGATCGCTCCATGGTTTTGGAATTGCTACAGCACGGTCTCCACTAAGTTTGCGCTTTGGCGAGTTCACCATCAGAGACCTGTACCTACAGTTGCATGCTTTTTTGAGGTCAAACCAGTATGCCCCTATCCTCCTCCTGCCGATGATGTTTTCCTCTCATGTCCCTTCATTTTTATCACCAACAACCTGCTATTACCAGATTGAGGTATCAAAAACATCCTGTGTTTGTGAACAGGTTTGACCTCTGACCTCCGCTGCAGTACCGCACACTCATGCTGAGTCAGTTAAGGAGTGGGAGAAAAGAATGCTTCTGCTTCCACTGTTGCTCCAGACTATTTGTGTGTGTGTCTGTGTTTTTGCAAGGTATTAAGTATTTGGTTACATTTCATCCTTTAATCAAGGCAAATTAAACTCTGATGTTGTAACTTTACACGCGTCCTGTCGTTGCAGCTCATTCAGGGCACTTCTGTCCCTTAGCTACACCCACAGTTAGCCTTAAATAGGTGAGTGTCATCAGCCTGATCGTTCAGGTTTGTCTCAGAAGAAGAAATAAGGGTGAAGTGAGAGCATGTGAGGGCGATTGTGTTTGTGTGTGTGTGGTAATAGGCTGTTCCTCTTGAGAACGATGCTGTCCTAAGACCACACCCCATTTTAAAGTACCCCCCCACCCTCCTCCTCCTTCAGTCCACTTGTCCTTATTTGGTTGTGCTGCCAGCTCGGCTGATGATTGGTGGAGTGAAAACTATTTTGACTGAAACACACACACGCTCGAACACACCTATATTGTTCCCAGCACCTCCCACGTGCACACAGGTACAGACATGATGTAAGGGTTTTCTCTGTACTGATTGCAGCTAAACATAAATACACAATAAATGCATATCAGACGGCATGTCTTGTCCAAACACGCAGGACAGAAAGCCTCAGTGTGCATACCTGATTCTGCAGGAATTTTAACATCTGGAACTTTCTTGTAATTATGCAGGAGGTCTATGAGAAGACACTGAAGAACGGCCAAAGCAGCATTCCAGATCTCAAATTATGACATTTAAGGAAGCAGCTTATCAGTAAGTTCAGGAAGTTGTTTTGTTATCACACACACTGAATGCATCCACACACCCCCAGCCCCCTCCCCTCCACCAACACAGCTAATTGCCATGAACTGTGTAGACCATCCGTCTTGGACAGTAAATCTAGTGCTATTATTATTATTATTATTATTATTATTATTATTATTTATTCATTTTGTAGAATCAGAAGAAGCACTTATACGTTTCAGATGCTCTTCTTCTACTATTAAAATGGTTTTGAGCGAGCATGAAACTATTTTTCATAAAAGGCAGAGCTGAAAACAATCAGGTAAAACAGCACCACCTAGTGACCAAACAATAAAAAAAACAAGGACAGGGTCACATTGTATTTATTTTACATCCAGAGATAATCCAGGAAAGTACAGACTCTGTATGCATTTAGAAGATGCGAGTCTACACTGGGTCACTCGGTGTTGTCTCAGTCAGTCAGACGGCTCTCCTGCAGTCTCCAGCTCAGATAAAATAGCTCTGGAAGGGCCAGACAGACGAGATACAGTGTGTAAGCTTCACCAAGTGGAAAACAACAGCTCAAAATCCATCCATCTATCCATCCAATAAAAGCACTTTTTGTAATAAATCTTTTGCACGGGTGGAGCGATGATGTAGAACATTTGAATTAGTCAAAATCCAGACCTCAGCTAGAATTATGCCAGGTTTACTGATCTAAACCCATAAAATCTGGTAACAGTAACTTGATAAAGGCAATTTAACCAAATATCCAATCTTGAGGTTTTTTTGTAATTAAATAATAAAACTATATATCTATCCAGATATCTCTCTCATGTATCCTGCTTACCTTTGCTCTTCAGTCAGCTCAAACTCAGCCAGTGCTCTCTTTGCTAGCCTCCATGTTGTTGGCAGGCAGAAGGCTGCAGACAGCTGCACCAACTGCACTGCTTTCTGGGAGTCACCGTCACTGTGGCACACTGACAGGAAGTTGTTCAAGAGCCCCTCGCTGTAGAGTAACACAGCAGGAAACAGAGTCAGAGGCAACTCAGCCAACACAAGGGTTTGTCTGTGCAGGTTCTGGATCATCAAGCTCACAGTAGCTTTGAGAGCTTGAAAAGAAGAAAGTGGATTTCTTTTGTCTTCTCTTCAAACTCTTTAATATCAGTTTTTAAATGTCCTAAATAAAGTTACACAGGCGAAGTTTTCTGCATTAAAAAAATAGCAATTGTTGTTCATGTGTGACATGATGAAGGACTGTGGGCTTTGTCATTGTCATCACTCATTATGAGTCTAGTCTGAAGTGAGACTTACGAAGGAACTCTGTTCCTGGACTTGAAGAGCTGCAGCATCTCCCTGCAGAGAAAAGGTGACATTAGATTGCAGCCAAGTCAGAATACAGTAAAAGTTCTCCTCCTGACATGTGCGGCTGTCGCTCTCACCAGGCCTGTCGGGTCTTGTTAGCTCGCAGCAGCAGTGTGGTGATGTGTGAGAGGGAGGCGGCGCTCCACTCTATACTGGGCCTCAAATCAAATACACTCTTTACATCCAGAGCACATGCTGCAAAGGACTCCTGAACCTGCAGGCAAAAGGCAGGCGAGCTCATAGAAACACACTCAGGTCGGCATTACTAACTCGCTCAACATCACTGTCCAGATGGCGAAAACTGATAACACAAATGTCGTCAGACTGACCTCAGAACTGTGTTTCTCTCTGGCCATGAGGCTGAGCAGCTCCTCCACCAGATCGGGTTTGTTATCGTGCCCGAGAGTCTTGATGTCTGAAAAAACAGGTCAATGTGACAGATCCTGACATGCAGAGGAAGGGGCCTTTTAAACAATCAATGCATCGTCTACTCTTTATCAAGATATGCACTGAACAATGCATCTTGGAACTCACCTTTCCATATAGAAGGCAGCAAGTCCAGACGGCTGTCCGTGTCCAGGGCCTGCAGCAGGTCCCTCATTCCCTGAGGGTTGGGGTAGTAGAGCTACAAACGCAGGATATAAGGAAAGGTAGTTAAAGCAAGACTGAAGGTGAAACCTATTATTTCTTTATTTTTTCCTTTATAAGACAGAGACAGCCAAAGAATCTTCCAAAACAAATCAGGTTTTTCCCCTTTTTTTCTCAACTTAGCGCACTTGTGACCCGGAAAGATGACAGATTACAACTGAGACATTATGTGCATATATTTAAATATCATTTACATATGCATATAATATAAGCACAGAAGCAGATATGCACTGACCGAGGGAATGATCTGCTTGTACCATTTCAGCACCACATCAATGTGCTCCATCATGCACAGCAGGTTGAAGAAGCGACCACTGCAGAGGAGGGAGAATGGTTGTTTACCTACCCACGTTTACTGCTTATAACTGGATCAGATACAGATTCAGAGTGATTATACTGCATTACACGACCACATCGTTGGAAGTTAGCAGAGGGTTCCTACTTACTAGTAAATGCTCTGCTGGAAGGAGTCTCCCAGCAGCCTCCAGTTCTCCCCGACATCTACCAAACTCTGGATTTTATATCCCAGCTCCAGATCTTTACTGTCCAAACACTGCAAGGACAAAAAGCATGCACGCGGAAACAGGTCACGCTGTATAAGCAGGGCATAGCCTCCTTTAATTATAATGTATGACTGATAATTGTGTCACCACTGATCTGGGAGCTAAGAATCAAACGCTGCCATGAGACTGTCGAGACTGTAAAGCAGGACTCACTATTCTCATTGCGCTGGAGAAGAACAGAACTGGAGAGACAGAGAGAGAACACAGCATCAGTTTTACCATCCACATGTCCGCACGTTTGTTCTATCCGAACAAAAGGAAACATTTGTTAAATCTGTCGTGCGCCGTGATATACCATCGTCAGGGTCCTGGCAGGTGAAGATGCGTCCCTCCAGCTCAGCTATCACCTCCTGAAGAAGATCAGTGTTGTTCTGTGCAGAAGAGGCTGGAGAGGAAACACATGGGGTGAATGCACATTTAAAAGCATGCAGCCGACAAATAGCGCAGATGCCTGTGAGGGTCACGTATGAGAGCAACTGCAGGGCTACCTGATTTGTAAAAGACTGCCAGGATGTGGTCGTAGGAGGCCAGGCTGGGAGCTGCACACACACACACACACACACACTCAGAGAAAAAAATAAGACTTGCCTGTAAAACACCATGTAATAAAACACGAATGGCAGTGTTACCTATCCCCAGCGCCTTCATCTCATTCAGAGTGTGCAGAGCTTGTGTTTTGGCCAAGAAGCCGCAGCGTCTCAGAGCTTTGAGGACGCTGTTGAAGGTCAACAGGTCAGGACGAACTTTCTGCTGATTCATCTGGTTCAACAGCTCCTGCAGTCAAGGAGACACCATTGTGAATATTAACTATTTGATTTGATTTGATTAACTAGGAGACCAGAAAGGGTCCAATGGAGAAGAGAGCGTGAACACGGATGACCTTTAGCTTTAAAAGGTTGGAAACGACCAAACTACCAGTGCAAAGATGGCAGTAAATACAAAACCTCTTTACCACAGGACAAATTACTTGTGTTTGTTTGCCTTTTTTTTTTTTTTTTTTTTAAATACAAAAGCATTGTGCAGCAGCGATCAATAAATCAGTGTGAAGGGTCTTACAGCAACGAGGTCCCATCGCTCATTAAATTTGTCTCGGACATCTGGAGCTGCTGAGATCAGAGCATTGAAGATGTGGACATCAGCTGAAGGGAAACGATTGGGTTATTAGTTAACAGATTACATATATAATGTAAAATATATACAAAAATACATAATATATGGCCAAAAGTACTTGGCCACCCCATTACACCCACAGTTAAACTCTGAGTCGGGCTATAAGAGTCCTCCAGTTTTTCCATCTTCGATGAAACAACATATTTCCTTATCACCGTAAGAAGACACAAAATTCATTCAATTTAAGTTCAAGACTCATTTAAGTGATGAGAAGAATAACTACACTACCACATACTACTACAAGGCCACATGATTGCTAGAAGCAATGACATGACCTCTATACAGTATTTAACCAAAGCAGTGATATTAACCAAAGCAGCTCACCTGTCAGCCTGTTGTTAAGCATATCTGTGTACATGCTGAATGCCTTTGCATAGGCTCCATGCTGTGGGGACACACACAAACACACACACGAATATTAGGATACACTAAAATGACCCTTTCACTGCTGTTGCAATGCTGCAGGCCTGCATTTAGCCTGTGACTCTGATGCACGCCTACCTTGACCATGCCTCTGATGAGAGCAGAGTAACAGCGTGTATCCCGCTCTGGCAGCAGGTTAAAGATTCGCTCCGCATTGTTGTTTTCTTTCCAGGTGAACTTCAGGAAGTCTGAAGCTCGGCGGACCCGTGCTTTCCTTTTCTTCAGCTCCTCTCCAAATTCCTGCGGAGAAAAAACAGAGAAGTATCCTGCAGTGCTAACGTCCTTTTCACTGGAGCAGCTACTTTAATGTTACGTCAGGCGGGAACTCACTGCATCGTCTGTCTGTGGCTCCCCATCCTGGACGGGGTCCCTGTCGCTGTAGAGACAGATAAGGTCCAGCAGACTATGGGTTGTTTCCATGGAGACAGTAGTGCCTGAAAAAAAATTGCAAAAAAACATTTTTAAATGTGAAGCTTTGAGCTCCAAAGTAACATTCTGTAAAATGCAAAGAACTTCTGCAGACAACACCTATACTACTGATGCACACAATAGCAGAGTAAATAAGTATTTGGAGTACAGCTTTACGATATTCATGCTGTGCGTGCATGTGTGTGTGTGTGCGCGTGTGTTCTCACCAGCTTGCAGTAACTGATCATACATGTCAACAGCAGCTGTAACTTTCCTCAGGGTGATCCTTTCCTTCAGTGCTTCCTCACTCACCTCCTCAAGACGCAGGGATACAGTCTCTGGCATCAGACACTACACACAGACAGACACACAGACAGACACGACAACCAATTGCTTAGTGAAAAGGAACCGCACAATACGAGAGCAGCACTACACTACATACCCACACTTCCACACACTGCTGTGTATTTCTTACGGGTATATGAGGTTCTGCAAAGTCTTTGGTGAAGAGTTTGGGGTTGTTGTTGACGATGTATTTGGCTGCAGATCTGCCGGACTCCTGAGAGAGAGAGAACAGCTTCTGCAGAGATACAATAAAGCTGGTTTATTAGGTTGCTCGCAGAGTAATGAGCAATACAGGCAAAAAACAAAGTTGTCTGCGTTACCTGATCTAAGACTCTTGAAATGAATTAAATAAAAAGAGAAACTGTCTGATGTAACTAACAGTGTCCCTAAATATACATACAAGCATAAAGACATGTTTTAACATACAAACTCAGTAGAAGTCCTGGGGGAGAGGTAAGGATCATCCTGGAATTGGTAGGGATATGCTGTGGGATCCTGCAGGGGCAAAGAAAAGGCGGTCAGTCCAAGCTAAAAATCCAGCTTCATGAATACAGTGAAAAATGTGAAGGTGCTCTCACCCTGCTGACAGTTGAAGCCAGCGCCTCCAGCACTGCCTCTCTGCTCCTGTTTGATAAAGAAAAACATGATTTTAATGCCTCATTTAAAGAACGCTTTAAACAAAAGAGCATGAGAGGCTGTAATACCCCACTTCGCAGTCAGATCAGCTCATACCATGTTTTCTTCCTGGGGATGACAACGGACTCTGTCGATTCTGCAACACAATTGACGAGACGTGAAGATTAAAAATGAAAGCTTTGATGTAATAAATGCTCCTTTCAGTTCAATATTTTCCTGCTCAACTAAACTCATTGATGAAATCCAAACGCTTCCTAAATTTAACCCACTGACTAACAAACACTGAATTTATATCATTTACCTTTATTGGCTTCTGCAGCTTGCTGTCGTAGAGCTGAGGTCCAACCGAAGCCCCTGAAAGATCATTTTTGTCAGTTTAGCCAGAATGATTTTTTCCATCCTTGTTACACTTCAATCTAAAAACACGACCAGCGCTACACCTGCTTTAACTGGATGATGTATCCTCACAGGTCTGTCGGCTGAAATTAAGCGCTCCTCTATCGACACTAAAATATGTTTCACTTAACAGCGGTCTGGTTTATTTTCCACTAACGTCAACACAACAAATCACCCTAGAATTAAACTGTTAAGTGTTTGGGTTGCTTTGCTCAAGTCTGTTGTGTCACATCATTTTTGTGCTGGCTAAATGTTCAAAAAATGATCAGTACAAAAGAAATAACAATTACATAAATTGTTACTGGTTAATAGTTATTTGGTAAAGCTAGATCAGTACTGACCCAGAATATCAGTCGGAGTGTCCTTACTAGTTAGACACTTAACATGGAGCCACCACCTGCTGTATATATGGTAAATACTACAGTCTTTGTGTCACAGCTGGTTCCCTGGACAAAATGTGTGAATTTGGGTGTTTTTTCAAGCATTCTTCTTCTTCTTCCTTTAGAGGCAAATAATCCACCATCTCTAGTATCCTTTTCTGTCACACCAACCCTCTGCATTTGTCTGTGGACTCCATCTTTTCCTCCTCCCTGGCAGCTCCATCATCGACATCCTTTGGCCAGTCTATCCACTATCCCTCCTCTGCACATGTCCAAACCATCTCAACCTAATTTATCTCCAAACCGCTCGACCTGAGCTGTCGCTCTAACTCATATACTTGTATAATAATACTCATGATTCATTTCTAATACTTCTCCTTGTGGTCACGCAACAATAAAATTCAATTCTGCCACCTCCAGCTCTGCCTCCTGTCTGTTCTTAGTGCTACCATCCAAACCGTCCATTACAGCGGGTCACACTATACCAGAGGTTCCCAAAGTGTGTGTGTGTGTGTGTGTGTGTGTGTGTGTGTGTGTGTGTGGGGGGGGGTTATGAATGTTTTAAAAAATGAAGGGGGCCTAGCAAAAAAAAGTTTGGGAACCACTGCACTTCTGTCACAAATCTCCCTGACACTTGTCTCCAACCTTCCCTGTGCTCTCGTCCATTATTCTGGGTGAATTTAAATTTGCCCATCACTACCTCTGCACCTTACATCTTCACTGTTACACCTGCCTCGCTCTCATTCCCACACTTCCTGTCTAACGTCAGCCGACTTTTGTGAAAAAGGAGAGAAAAAAAGCTTTCACGGCGGTCGCATTCTGTACATCTGGCATCGTCTAAGAGTATTGGCCAGACAGCACATCAGTAAGGCTCTGCCACTGTTTCATCTGTGACCTGCTTGTTTGCAGAGGGTCCTCCAAGCAAACTCGGACATTTCAGCTGTTACATTCATACGTCATAGCTAACATCTCAGCAGCTTATTCAGCACCTCTAGCTCCTTGTGTCAGATATATTCTTATGTGCCGAGGATTACAAAGGTTAATGGTTGTGGAAAATGCAGGTGTGACGCTTTTTAACGTTTTAGTTACTATTTTCCTCACTAATGTAGACATTTAAGAATCCGTGCAGGTAGCTGGTTAGTTGGGGCTTCACACGTCTAGCAGCTCTCTGATGTAAACGACGTGAAGACATGACCTCCTGTCAGACGGCGCTAGCTGCTGCAGCTGTCGCACTCTTGTCGCAACAAATAAAAAACACAACATAGGAGACGAATGAATAACGCCCGTATTTAAAATAACCATTTATCAACTCGTCCTACCTGTGGCCCAACAGCTGCTCGAGGTTATATAGAAGAAATCGTCCGTTTCTCTGCACAGAGTGCCCTATGTGCCTACCGGGCGCCGCCATATTGCTACAAACTGAAGGATTCTGGGAGGGACGAAACTATCTGTGCTAAAACGGAGGGGGGAGTTAAATAACAAGTAGTGACATTTTGGAGGATATAGTGCACTTTTCCCTTTCATGTAGAACAAAAAAGAATATTTATCTTTAAGTGTGGTCATTTAAACTTTAAACATCCAGCAGGTGTTGTGGAAAGTTTAGTCATACCTATTCGTGTCTCCCCTGTCGTAGAAACTTACGTGTTACGGCCCCACGTGTGAAACAGGAGGAATAGCTTCTCACTGAGCGCCATGAAGTAATCTCTGTAAACGGGTAAAAAGTGCTGATAATTCTCCGCCAAAGAAGATGTTGTTCGGAAAAGAAGTGCCATGGCGGCGTTTGGAAGGCATGTCGTTTGGCATTTACTCCGCCGAAGAGATAAGGTGAGGGAGCTGGTCGGTTTTTAGCTACGCGCTAAGTGCTAGTTCAAAACAACACGCAAGAGACAGCATGATGAGAAGTTCTGGCTTTTCACAAAGCGCATAGTATGTCTTGTGGTTGCTGTGTTGTTGTTATTAATGTGTGTTCATCTGTGAAACGTGTAAGGACCTCCCGTTATAAGGTTATTACCGTTGTGCTACTTTACAGTCCAGCCTCCCAGTATGCTGTGATAAAGAACGTGTCATCGAGTAAACACAGATATGCACCTATTCGGAACAGACCCACGAGCTGCTAGAAATTCAGTATAACCGTAGTAAAGACATAATGCATCGATAATAACGTCAAAAATGTCTGATCTGAACTTTCTTTATGTACCATGATTCAAAAATAGCCAGTGAAACCTTGTTGTGCCCCTGTCATGACTAATGTCCTCTTAATTTCCAACAAGCTGTTGTGTGAAAGCTGAGGTTTGGTTTACAAACTGGTGCATTTCTAATAATCTATGTATCTTGCGAATTTCCCTCATGCAGAAAGTTGAGTGTGAAAGCCATCACTAACTTCAGGTTCCTGGATGGTGTTGGGAATGTGGCCCCAAACGGCTTGTATGATCTGGCTCTGGGACCAGCAGACATCAAAGAGGTAAGATCTTCAGACGTGATGATGCATTTGTCACAGATTAGTCCGTACCATTTTATTTCCCATTTAGGTTTTATGCCTGTACAGCTAAAGTTTCAGGAAGTAATCCACCAAAAAGGGCTCATAATGTTCTGGAATCTGTAGATTTTGGAATAAATAATGATCAGTTGAATGTGTTGTTTTCATGTGTTCATGGTTGTGTTTTGCTGCTTTTACCCAGGTGTGTTCAACCTGCTGTCAGGATTTCAACAACTGCCCAGGCCACCTTGGACACATAGAGTTACCTCTTCCTGTGTATAATCCATTGTTCTTTGATGTAAGCGTTTCACATGCACACATACACGCTTACAAAGAGTAGCAGTGTTAAGCATCTGCTTTTCCTTCCTCACCTTAATGTCTGCGCTGACCTCTCTCTTCAGAAACTCTACCTGCTGATCCGTGGCTCGTGCCTGGCGTGTCACATGCTAACATGTCCTCGAGCAGCCATGCACCTGCTGCTGAACCAGCTCAAGTTATTGGACCACGGAGCCATGCAGGAGGTCTACCAGATCGAACAAGTTCTCGGCCAGGTGGGTTCTGCACTCACAATGGCATGAAGTGCACCGACACAGGGCCAGGTGTAGTAAACGGAGCAAACTAGTTTTGACAGGTGTGGTTAGTTTTACAAGGGATTTAAAAAGAAATTAACCGAGTTTGGACTCTTGCAGCAGCTTCTCCTACAATGGGGTCTTTCACTGTTTTGTTTTTTCACTTCTGCTTCTCTGTGCTTTGTAATTATCACAGGTCAGTGTTAGTCTCTTTATGTTTGATTCATTTGACTCTGTGTGTGTGTTTGTGTTAGTACATGGAGGAGAATGTCAAAGCGACTGTCGATGAGGTCGTGCAGGTGCTGCAGGTGTTTACAGACGCCACAGTTGGAATGAACGCAGCGACTTCAGAGAACACCAAACCTGTGAGTACACACTTACAGACTCATGAAGGAATGCATGGAGATGTTTTGTGAATGAAATAAAACCGCACGTAAATCAGATTGCGATGTGCATTTGTGTCAGCTGTGCAGTTTTTCTGTTTATTTGGCATGTGTGTGTGTGTTTCAGATTAAGCACTTGGTTGAGAAGAAAGGCAGTTTGATTAACGACTTCTGGAAGATCCATATGAAAACCAGGAAGTGTCCTCACTGCGGGTAACTTGATGGAATGCACACATCTGTCACTGATATTCATCCTGTTTATGATTTCAGCAAATAGTGTCTTTACTGGATGTCAGTGTTGAAAAGTGTTGCTCTAAAGTCGCCTTCAAGTCAAAGTTTAATCATCCCTCGCTGTAATGTAATACATGATAATGGAGAGGTTTATACTTACATATAAACAATATATTCTCCCTTATTGTGACGTAGTCATGCACTGTGTGTGTTTGTGTAGTTGTGGCAGGTCTACAGTGCGTCACGAACACAACAGTAAGCTGATTGTCACGATGCCATCAGGAGCTCAAACCAGTGACAAAACTGAAGGTGAGCAGTGTTTTCAGGAAATGCAGATAAACAGACAAAACACAGCACAGTCCGCACACGTGGCACAAAATCAAGCTGACTGTTAGCTCGACGGCTGCTGCGTAACTTGCCTTTTCTGTCATGCAGTTTCACTGCTGAACAAATGTCTGGTTAATTGTGATTTGTGGTGGACTTGATATACGTCTGTTTTAGTGGTGGCTGCACGCACCTCCTCTCACTCTGATCCATAACCATGTCTCCCTGCAGAAGATCTGCTGCGTGGAAAGAGAGTCTACATGACTGCCAGCACTGCTCGAGAGCACGTCAACAAAGTGTGGGAAAAGGAAGGTAGGCCAGAAATAAAGGCTCCAGGTTACATGTTTAAGGCTCTTCTAAGCCCCTCCCTCCAGACAAACGCAGACACATTCACCCACATGTCTCTTGTGGATTAAAAGTCAACCCTGACTTTCAGCTGCATGTGAGATTTAAAGTCTTTTCTCCCAGATCAGCGTGTACTGCTTAACCTGTGATTTAGTAGGAAAAAAACCTGTGTTTGGCCAAAGCGTCCCATTAAGACAAGAGGGAACTTCAGCTGCCTTTCAGCTCTGTCAAACTTCATTGTGCTGGAAGGTTGTTGTGTATTAAAATATGATGCTTATTCCAGTTTCAGTGAGGAGATTACAGCATTTCTGAGTATTTAAAGCTGGACGTTTGGTTTGGGGGTGTGTTAGAGAGCCAACATGAAAGAAGCTGCTCGTTACATATGTGTAAAATGCAATGTAACAAGTTTAAAAAAAGAGAGAGATCGCTTTGGCTTTTACTATTGTTTATTTTTGCTCTGCATTTATTAAGAACGTGCTCATGCTCTCATACAAATACATGTATAACGTGGCCAGTCATAAAAATACCTGAGTGCACACCTTACAGTCACGAAACTTTAGTGTGTGTGTGTGTGTGTGTGTGTGTGTGTGTGTGTGTGTGTGTGTGTGTGTGTGTGTGTGTGTGTGTGTGAGCAGAATTCAAAGCACTACTTGTGTTATTTCTTCAGGTTTCTTCCTCAAGTGTCTGTTCTCTGGGCTGGAGGAGTGCATGTGGTCCAAAGAAGGGGGAAGCAGTTTCTACCCTGACCTCTTCTTCCTGGAGCTGCTTGTGGTCCCGCCATGCAGGTACAACATCACACAGCTGGCACAGTAGCACCTGTTTGTTTTACACTGAAACACCTACCACTCCGACCTGTAATCTGTTACTGCTGTACGAGCAGCTTATTTTTATTCAAACACTACACTCCTCATCTCCCCCCTGTCAGGTATCGTCCAATCAATCGCCTGGGTGACCAGATGTTTACTAACGGTCAGACAGTGAACATGCAGGCTGTCATGAAGGACTGTGACATCATAAGAAAACTCCTGGCCCTCATAGCTGGCGAGAAAATTGTCCCGGAGACAGAGGTGAGTCGGAGACGATGAAACATGAAGAGTGTAAGAAGCTGAGCAGCTGAAGCGTTTCTTCCATCCAGATTGTGATGGCAGAGTGGATGTGGTTCTTTTCAGGCTGTCGAGCAGACGGACCAGTCGTTTCTGTCCGGGATCCTGGGAGCGACTCTAACAGATAAACTGTACAACGTGTGGGTCCGCCTGCAGAGCCACGTCAACATCGTCTTTGACAGCGACATGGACAAACTGATGACAGAGAAATACCCTGGGATCAGACAGGTACCTCGCTGCACACCAGCACGAGCACAGCTGACCAGGGTTTAGGCAAGTAAACCTTACAGTTTCCCACATTACGTTACAGATCCTTGAGAAGAAAGACGGATTATTTCGGAAACACATGATGGGCAAACGTGTGGACTACGCCGCAAGATCTGTCATCTGCCCAGACATGTACATAGGCACCAACGAGATAGGAATACCTATGGTACATCCCTACCTTTGTTAAAGAAGACGAGATCAAAATGGTATCAGGACTGGAGCTCAAAGTTTTCTGGCTGTTTTGTGTATCCGTGCAGGTTTTCGCCACCAAGCTGACCTACCCTCAGCCAGTCACTCCCTGGAATGTGAAGGAGCTCCGGCAGGCCGTTCTCAACGGGCCCAACGTCCACCCCGGTGCCTCCATGGTGATAAACGAGGACGGCAGGAAAACCATCCTCTCCCCTACCTGCCTCGCACAGAGGGAGGCGGTGGCCAAGGAGCTGCTGACACCCTCTCCAGGTCCACGCAAGATGCCCATGAAGATCGTAAGTCAGCTGCGTGGATTGAAACAGCAGTCAGTCACAGATTTAACGCCCTGCGTGAGCGCTCACTAGCTGCGTTTCGTCTGCTCAGGTGAATCGACACATAAAGAACGGAGATGTTTTGTTGCTCAACAGACAGCCGACTCTGCACAGACCCTCCATCCAAGCCCACTGTGCACGCATCTTACCAGGAGAGAAGGTAGCTCCGAGCTCCTCAGCCGCTGTGCTTTGTGGATTACTTTGATCTGTACTTGATCTCAACTCGATCTTCCAGGTGCTGAGGCTCCATTATGCCAACTGTAAAGCTTACAATGCTGACTTTGATGGGGATGAAATGAACGCTCACTTCCCTCAAAGTGAGCTGGGCCGAGCCGAGGCCTACACGTTAGTCAGCACTGACCAGCAGTACCTCGTCCCCAAGGTATGTGTGTGTATGCAGAGAGTACACAGGATTAACACTGCAGCCCGGCAGTCTCAGGGATTATAGCTGCAAAACGTTATAAACAGACTGGATTATACATGTAAGACGACCATGAATAAAAACCCTCTAAACTTCTATTATTTCTAATGGCCAGCAGGGGGAGACTCCTGCTTATGGAAATAGAGCCTCTGGTTTTAATGATTCGTGTATGGAAGCCCGTTTCTGCCACAAAAATTTAAAAAAAAAGTATCCATAACTTGAAATTTTGACTTATTTTCTCAAAATTTTGAGTTAATAAGTCAAAATTTATTTACTTTTTTGAGAAAGATGAATTAGTTTTGTTTTGTTTTTTTTAGTGGCAGAAACAGGCTTCCATATCCATGAGCTTAGCAATAACCTTCACTTTTACTCAAAGACGGACTGATTTAATTTTTAACGATCAAGTTGCGTAACCTTGAATGACTTTTGGATCTAAGTACATCAGGTGACCTGTATTTGTGGAGTAAGGGAAGTTGTGGCCTTAAGAGATCAAAAGTCTTTATTTAGGTGTGCATAATTATTAGGCAGCTTCTTTTGGGCCAAAACAATAAACTTAATAGACTTTAAAAAGGCAAAAAAAAAATCTTTCAGAGGGATGCAGCATTGTTGAAATAAGATATTGGTGTGTGATCACAGAAACCCAACCCTAGTCAACACGATCACAAGAATTGTGTTGACGTTAAAAAGACAAATTAACCGGCGAGGTGCAGGCGGGGTTCTGGTCTGGACTGGCGTTACTAAAGATGAGCTCGTTGGACCTTTTGGGGTTAAAGACTAAAACTCAACTCCCAAACCTGATTCTGGTTTTTATGCAGGACAACGCTCCATCGCATGCATCGAAGTACTCCACTGTGAATCTGGAGTAAGGGCCTCCTTCCTCTCATGAACTGCAGGTTGTACCTTCTCATTCTTCTCTCCTCAGGATGGTAAACCTTTAGCAGGCCTGATCCAGGACCACATGGTGTCAGGAACAAGGATGACAATACGAGGCTGCTTCTTCACCAAAGACCAGTACACTGAGCTGGTGTACAGAGGGCTGACTGACAAACCGGGCAGGGTGAAGTTACTTCCTCCAGCGATACTCAAACCACAGCAGCTATGGACGGGAAAACAGGTGAGCGAACGTACATTTGAGTTTTGGTTTTAATAGAAGCTTTTCAGCGTGATGCTGGAAGCTGAACGAAAGAGTTTAGTCAAAGGTCAGCGTGTTAATTATCCATCGTCTTGAACTCTAATAGTAAAAATAAGGAATTCATGGCTTCAACATCTCTTGTGTGATGATTTCGGTGCTCCTCATAGGTGGTGTCGACCCTCCTGCTGAATGTGATCCCAGAGAAAGCTGTGCCTCTCAACCTGGCTGGCAAATCAAAGATTCCTAGTAAGGCGTGGATCCAGGTCCCACCACGAGCCGCTCCAGGGTACCAACCCGAGAGCATGTGTGACTCTCAGGTATGTACACTCTTCGAGCCAAAAGTACTCGAATTACTCAGTTACTAAAGGAGACCAGGGATCTTGTATTTCTGCTTTGGTTCGGGGTGTTGACGCTTGCTTCTCCTCTTCTTTCGAACGTCTTTGTGTTCAGGTGGTGATTCGTCAGGGGGAGCTGTTAGTTGGGGTTCTGGACAAAGCTCATTATGGCTCCTCGGCTTACGGTTTGGTGCACTGCTGCTATGAGCTGTATGGAGGGGAAACCAGCGGCAAACTGCTCAGCTGTCTGGCTCGACTCTTCACTGCATACCTGCAGCTCTACAGAGGCTTCACTCTGGGTAAGAACCCAGATACTGACCAGTGTTCTTCGTTCCTCCCCTGAACCCTGTTAGTATTACTGCAATCACACAAATGTGTCAGGTACACTGAGAGCAACCTGGAGAAAGATTCTGCACACTCGAGCTGTCCTTTGGTCAGATGAGACTAAACTAAGAAACGCTGCTGATGTTTGGAGAATGCAGGAAGAGAGAGACCACAGGGAAGCACGGTGGTGGGACTATTATGCTGCGGGGACGCTTCAGTGTGTCTGGAACTGGGAATCTCATCAAGGTGGAAGAAACCATGAAGGATGTGTGAAGATTTTGAAACACAACTTTAAGCAGTGTGTCGTCCCACATGACAACGACCTAAACACACGTCCTGGTGAAGAACGACCTCCAGAAGTTCAAAGTGAGCGTTGCTGACTGACCTGCACAACGTCCTGACTTTAAAATCTGTCGGGTGAACCAAAGACCAGGGTCCTCGCTAGAAGGCAGTTAAATCTGGAGGATCCGGAGAGGTTTGCCAGAGAAGGACAGGCTGGGGTTGCTCCAGAGACGTGCATGAGACGACTGCAGGCTGTTAGCCAGCATAAAGGATGCACAACTGCATCATCATTTTCATCCTGGTAGTTTTTGGTTTTAGGGGAAAAAATAATGTAACCATCCAGCATAAAGGGATATATTAAAAATTTCTTGCTCTGTTTACCAGCACTTGGGAAATGATTGCTAAATGCTGATGATTCACCTGTTTGTCAGTTGTGTACAAGGAACAGAAACACTAACTTTTTCCTTTGACCTGTGCCCAGGTGTGGAGGACATCCTGGTAAAACCAGGCGCCAACAAGCGGAGGAAGAAAATTATTAAGGAGTCGCTGAAGATTGGAACCAAAGTGAGTAAAGCTAATGTGGTCTTCACTGAACAGCCTGCAAGCATGAACGCACGCTCTACATTTGACACCACAGAGAGACTAAACTGCAGCTTTGTCAAATTCAGTGCTTCCTCCTTCCTGGACGCCACTGGCCAAAATGGCTGCCACAGTAAAGGTGTAGTTCATGGGCCCCATGGTGCTGAAAAATGGCCTGTGGGGATAAATATGTACTACACACAGTAATTATATTACGCTTACCTGTACACAGTCATTAAATGTCTGTGTGTAAGGCTGTTTCCAGTTCTGCTGTGTCCACAATAACGCTTCTACAACGCTGACGTTTCAGCAGGCAGCTGGGTTTATAAATCACTGGGAAAACACGTGTTATAAAACTCGTTCGTACTGAGGACGTGTGAATGCAAACATCACTGAAACACTGTGCTCGTAGGCTGAATGTGGGAATGACAAGAATGAGATGAAAGCAGTTTGTGGCTGTGGTGAGATGTGAGAGCCACAAAGATCAGATGAGAGGGTGTGGAATGGTCTGTAGTGTGCAGTGTGACACTGTCAGCTATAGCGGATGTGGCTAATTAATGGGGAAAAAGGAAGCTGTGGTTAGCTGTTAACCACTATAGAAACGTGCTCTTAATAAATGAATCTGTTATCTGCAGGGTTCCATAAAAACTGAGTTTTCTAAGGAGAGCGCTAGCAAACACGCTTTGCTTGTGAGTGAAAAACAACAGTCATTGGTGAAAAAAGAAAAAAAACACTCCTTCCCTGTTGGTGGAAAAATGTATCATGTCGACCAATCAAAAACATGATATGGCAACATGTGGCATCTGGTTGTTTGGGAAGAGAGGGAAGCTTTAGGAGTGAGCGAAAGAGAGAGAGACAGTTTTGATACATGAGAGATTAGTGACGTTTATCGTGTTTGGAGTCTCAAGTTAGTGTGTTGTCTTGTGTAGTTAGTGTGTAGTGTAGTCGTTGTTTTGTTTTGTGTGTCAGTTCTACTAGTGAACGTCACAGTTGCTGCCTTAAAGCCACCAAAGGCAGATTGCAGCGTAAACGCTGAGTGACACAGCTGCTGTCAGACCTGCATGTTTATCCCTGTGCTGTTCTCATCTGTGTTATAGTGACACAAACTATTTTTTAGAGGTGGGAATCACCATACATCCCACGATACGATATTATCACAATACTTAACGCACGATACGATATTATCACAATACTTAACGCACGATACGATATTATTGCAATTTTTTAAAAATATTTTGCGATATTCAGATTCTGTACATAAAGGTAAACTTTATCAATATTCATTTTATCTAATATCAAAGTCTCACACTCAGTCTTTCTCATTTCAGTCAGTTTTATTGTTGACAAACTGAACGGTTTGTGCCACAGTCTAGTCCAACTTAACTGAATGCAACCATCTGGTACAATTATAGCTATTCTGAACTATGCAATATGAAAACTATGCAGCCCCTTCAGCAACTGAAGAATTTGAAAGTAAATTAAAACAAAATATAATTTTACATTAAATAAAAAAGTTTTAAACTTAATTAAAATAAAACATGTCTTAAATTAAAATAAGTAAACTGTCATGTTTATTGCTGCCAAAAAAAAAAAGTTAAACACATTTGGACAGTGAAGGAATGTCAGGATTCTTGCTCATGAAAAGGATCAACATGCTCTGAAGTCAGAGCATGTTCCAGTCCACAAAAACTTTTTTTGTAACAAAATATCGATTTCTGCTGCCCCTGTATCGATACATTATTAGCAAAGAAAATATCACGATACTACACAATATCGATTTTTTCCCCACCCCTACTATTTTAGGAGTTGTATAAATAGTTTTTGTGCCTTCTTATTTGATGCAGAACAGCTGATTGTTCTGTAAATAATTTTAAATGGTTATATAAAAAACGTCTGCGCCTTGGCTGTATTTTTAGGTAAATAATACCAAATAACTTTGTTGTTTGCAAAAATTTCTATTTGCATTTCAAGTTATCAAAATGATTCGTTAAACATGTTTTTGGTTTTTATAGTCAAAAATATCACTTTCTACTCATATTTTAAATTTTGTCTGAATTTAGATAAATTGTGCTGATACAGTTTGTCAACAGGAGAAGAATATCTCTAACAAGTTGATTTGTTCACATTGTCACATCTTAATTTTTAAGTGAAATGTGCATTTTGAGTTTATACATGATGTATATAAGACGACCGTTTCCTTTTGCAGTATTTTTGTGTGGTTCGTTTTTCTATTTCTCAACAAAAGGTGAACAAAGGTGTTTAAGTTCACCGAGGGTGGTTTGTTTTAATTTTCACATGGTCTTACTGAAGTGATGTGAATTGAAACATGCATTCTTTTTTTTCGGGGGGGCATGTGCTGGAAAAGCTTGAAAAGGGACCTTGAAAGTGCTTAAAAAGTGCTTGAATTTGACCCTGAAAAAGGCCTATGAACCCTGTATCTGCTTCACTCACATTATGGTGATAATAATCTGCAAGTGGTTGCTGCATTAGGTGATTTCCACTAGGGGGCAGCAAAGTCTACATATTTTCAGATTGTCCACATGGTGGCTTTAAAGATTCGGTACTTTATTATTTTTGTTTTTCCTTTTTTCTTTTTGTCATTCAGGCGCTCCAGGCTGCTTTTAATCTGCCCTCCAATGTGGTCCAAGCCGAGGCTCAGAGTCGCTGGCAGGATGCTCACCTCAACCCAGACCAGAGAGACTTCATCACGGCCGACCACAAGTTCAAAGAAGTGGCAAACCAAGTCAACAATGATATCAACAAGGTAACCTGTCACTGCTGTTTCAGAGCCACGTTGTTCCTCCTTTGTTTGCTTTAAGAATAGAAGGTTTAATGGTCCAGTCACACGTCTGTGTCGATGCAGAGGAAGCGTCTAAAGAAACTCATTTGATTTGTTTCTGAATGTGTAAAAATGTATGTCAGAAAATGTCTAATCTCATCCTGTATATCAGATCAGTTGATTTATTGTTGGGCTCTAGTGTTGTCATGATTGGTTATTGAGACTGTTTTTAACAACATTATAGATTTATCCATTTTAATTGCATCTTCTAAAGCATTAGATCGTTCCTTTCTATAACTCAGACACCCTCAGACAGGTTTCACTCCGTGTTTGGTTTAATGCAGTGTGCACGTTGTTTTGTATGCTGGTTAGGTATGTATGCCAGTTGGACTACACACCTCTTTCCCAGGCAACAACCTCCAGCTGATGGTCCAATCAGGAGCCAAGGGGTCTACAGTGAACACCATGCAGGTACGGCCCTCCCCCTCGCTCTCACATTCACCTTGGCTTTCCTCTTGATTTGATAGCCAGGTGTGTTAAGCTACAGATGTCCTGACCTGTGTGTTGGTGTGTGTTTCAGATTTCCTGTCTGCTTGGTCAGATTGAGTTGGAGGGCCGTAGGCCTCCACTGATGCCCTCTGGGAAATTCTTGCCGTGCTTCCAGCCCTACGACCCTGCGCCCGGTGCTGGAGGCTTTGTTTCTGGAAGATTCCTCACAGGCATCAAACCACAGGTAACGTTTAAAAGTCACTTTTACATGATAGCTCCTTTTGTGCGGCCAGGTGAAGTTTTTTTTATAACGTTACTTAAGGAGGTAGACTTTGATATTTTGAACATTTAGCTGTCTTGTAGATTTAGATACATCCACACTCAAACGTTTAAGACGGCTTGAAAAATGGCAAAAAATCATATTTTCATTTTCGTACACCCCCCAAAACAGAAATCAAAGTTCAGACATGAACTCAGTGATGAGGAGCTCCACTGTTATTGTTGATCACTTCAATAATTCGTTGCGGCATGCTTGATCTAAGCGTTTCCATGAGGTGAGCGAAGTTTCTCCAAGTGGTGAAGACGACCGCACAAAGGGCGTCTGCTGTCTGGAACTGTCGTCCGTTTCTGTAAACTTGCCATCCATCCCCAAAGGTTCTCAGTTGGATTTAGATCAGAGGAACACGCAGGATGGTCCAAAAGAGTGATGTTACTCTCCTGAAAGAACATTGTGTACTGTAGCGTTGTCCTGTTGAAAAACCCAGGTGTTACCACACAGACAAGGGTCACATAAGAGAAGAAAGCCCTTCAGTCTCAGATGCCATCTGATGGTTATAGGGCTGCAGTCGGCACCAGTAACTGCCTTAATCTGGGTCGAGGATCGTCCAGTGTCTTGATGGACAGCCAATTGGATCCTCCGGCTCAGTGCTGGTGAATTTTTTTGGGGTCTTCCACTTGAGGTTTTTGTTCCATAACCCTCAGGATCATTTAAGAAATTACTTATTGCGTCCACCTCAGCCGTGATGGCGTGCTGTGAGAGACCCTATTCATTGGCTCACACTCATACCATAAAAGAACCACTGGAGTTCAACCCACCGAGACCACTTCCTGTAAAGGATCCCAATGCGGTTGTTCTCATTTTATGCTCTATAGAGAGAGCTAAACCTCGCTGCTAAGAGCAGCTCCTTAGAGTTCAGGTTTGCTGCTGATGGGTTTTTTAAAGTAAACTCTGCTTCTGTTGGGCACAGTTGAAAGATAATAAAGGCAAATATGAGGCACCTGATCAGAGTCTGGAGTGGCACAGCACAGGATTTGAATACTTTCTTCCTTTATGATGCATTTCTTTCATCCTCAGGAGTTTTTCTTCCACTGCATGGCTGGCAGAGAAGGACTGGTCGACACGGCCGTGAAAACATCCAGATCAGGATATCTGCAGAGGTAACAAAAGTTTTACTAACACAAGCCCCAAAAAACACAGAAATGCTCCCTGTGTCTGTCTGTGGCAAGAAATGCAAATATTATACGAATTTTACTCACTGTTGTTTTGGCTGGCAATGAGTGCTGTGCAAATGAAACATTATTCAAATCTGAGTTCACAGGATTTCTGAACAGCATTCATATGTGCACTGCTGTGAGCTTTGTAAATCTCTTTGCATGCCAGCGTGGTCGGATAAAGCATTAGTCTTCGTTTTGGAGTGAACACAAACAGAGATCATTTGTAACCAGAAACCCTGTTTTGATATGAGATTGAGAAGCAAGTTGATTTGATTTCAGAGGGAAATGTTGCTTCAATTTGGCAATGTGTGGAAGTGAGCAGCAGAGAATATCAAACGCAGGTGTTTCAAACACAGTGTAAGGTCAGTAATATGGCACATCTGCCCCTCTGCCTTCTTCAAACCATTTCCTCTGCAGATGTGTCATAAAACATCTGGAGGGTTTGGTAGTGCAGTACGACCTGACGGTAAGAGACAGCGATGGCTCTGTGGTCCAGTTCCTGTACGGCGAGGACGGACTAGATATCCCCAAAACTCAGTTCCTGCAACCAAGACAGTTCCCCTTCATAGAAGACAACTATGAGGTATGAACACAGCGAGGATGTGAATGGTATTCTGAGACGGTCCACATATCAAGGTAGTGCTGCAAAGCTAAACTTTACCAGCCATGGCTGATGATACACGTATGGCTGGCTCAGTGTTTCATCAACTGCGTACTGTCTGCGTACAGCTCGACAAGTTATAAAAAGCTTTCGATGGTAAACAACTTGTTAACCGCAACCTTAACTTTGCACACAAACCATTTGTTGATTCACAGCCACATTACAGCTCCCTGTGATAGTGCTGTGGAAGATCGCAGCCAAATTCAGTGCTTCCCCCCTCTGTGGTTGGTACTGCTACAGTGAAGGAGCAGGTCATGGGCCTCGGTGGGGGATAAATATGTACTGCATACAAGCACATTAGTGCTCAGCAACTCAGATAATACTGTGCAGTTTCCATGACGATTTGTTGTATTAGCCCAGCTGTTAACAAAACTATAAATATTAGTTAACTGTTAGCTTAGTTTAGCATGAAGCTACAAAAAGAAAGCTAAGCCACATTAATCTGAATGCGCCCAGACTATGGCGTTATTATTTTAGTGCCTCTTTTCTGAGCGCACGTAAAAATATTAGCAAGTGCAAATGTTGTATTTTGAGAAGAAAGTTATTTTGAGCTAAGAAAAGTTTAATTTGAGCAAACAAAATTCATTGCTGCGTGCAAGAAGTCTATTTCAGTGTTTGCTAATATCCATATACATATGCAATAACAGCCCCTCGCGCTCAGATCTCTGCTCTGTGTGCTCACAGACATCTGCACACCTGCTCTCATTGTGTCGCTCGCGCTCTCAGCAGCTTTCCTCCGTGCACGCTCAACTCTTTCTGTACGCCGTTATAAGTGTGCCACAAAACCAACCAATCACAGACTTGTGATTGGTTGGTTTTGTGGCACATATATATTACATATATATATTATCCATATGCACACACATTATTGTGTGTGTATATGGATAATAGCAAACACTCAAATACATTTGCACATAGAAATGAATTTTGTTTGCTCAAATTAAACTTTTCTTTATGCAAAATAATTTTCTTCTCAAAATGCAAAATTTGCACTTGCAAATATTTTTACGTGCGCTCAGAATAGAGGCAGAAAATAACATCAAAGCAGACAGGAACTGATTTGTTTATTGCGCCATTCTTTCAAGCTGATGCTTAGCAGACTCCGGTTGCCTAGGTAACCTTCTACTATATTTTCTAACCTGTCATGTGTGATTATCCTGCGCTCACATTGGTAGTCGATTTTAAAGTTCTTTTATTGATTTTTAAATGTCTTAATGGTCTTGGGCCTTCTTATCTCTCAGATCTGCTTTTACCATACGAACCCTCACGGACCCTGAGGTCCTCTGGTGCTGGCCTTTTAATTGTCCCTAAAGTCAGGACACATACTCACGGAGAGGCAGCGTTTCAGTGGTATGGTCCTCGTCTGTGGAACAGCCTGCCGGAGGAGCTCAGGGCCGCAGAGAACGTACATGTTTTTAAGAACAGGCTCAAGACCCACCTTTTTAATTTAGCTTTTACTTAGCGTTTATTTATTTTATGCTTATTTATTCTATCCTGTTATTCTATTATTAATTTAGACTTTACCTAATATTTATTGATTTTATTCTTATTCATTTTTTTAATCTTCTTACTCTATTTATATTTATATTTATATTGTATCCCGTTCTTATTTATTTTATCATTTTACCCTGTATACATCGTATTGTGTCATATCTCCAGTGTTTCCTCAGAGGGCGCTCTCTGCACCGGGGCTGTGATCGACCGTGGCTGCTGGGTCTCTGGGGTCCTCTCAGCCTGGCTGGGGGGCTCCTTTGCCTCCCTCCTGCTGTGTGCCCAGCCTGGAGGCTGCGGTCTGTGACCGGCTCCCGGTGCAGACGGCTCCCTGTTATAGTGTTTCCTCACTTGGCTCATGCGAGCCCAGCCCAATTTTTACTCTTTAAGTGTGCGCGTGTGTGTATGTGTGTGTGTATGTGTGTGTGTGGGGGGGGATATGTGTGTATTCACATCATTTATGTTAATGAGAGTGTGGGGAGTGAGTTGGAGGGTGGGGTGGGCTGCTTTTAACTATGTAAAGCACTTTGTGCTACATTTTTTTTTGTATGAAAAGTGCTTTATAAATAAAGATTGATTGATTGATTGATAGTCACCATGTATATTGGGAGTAAATCCCGGGATACACTTTCCTCACTTTCGAGGCGATAAGTTGAAGCGGCTACAAACGCGTGTGCCGGATTTTGGTGATTTAGATATAACAGGATAGTAAAATTGTCAGAGTGACAAATATACCAAGGCAGCTGGTGCTTGAATGTCTGCCGGCGAGCAACAATAAGTGACAGTGACGTGCAAAGAGCAAATGACTTCCTGTGTACAATGCCAGTTTGAATGAAGGAGACGTGTGTTTCCCTTCCTGCCAGGTCATCAGGAGGTCGCAGGGCCTGGATGAAATTTTAGCACGTTTAGACCCTCAAAGTGCCACTAAGCACTTTGCTGCCATCCAGCGCTGGAAAGCAAAGAGAGAGTTAGCATGTCCACGGAGTGGTATGTAAAAATGTTTGTCTTTGCAGGGAAATTATTTCCCACATATTTGCCCGAATGATATTTTCGAGATGCACTGAGTGTAAAATCTTGGACCAGTGCTGATGGTTGACATGTCTGCCCAACTCTTTCCAATCACATAGTTTGATTGTAAAACTTTTCTTTTTGTATGAAAAAGTAAAAAATTGTCTAAATTACCACTTTGAACTGTTGTAGGTCGTAGCAGCAACTTCATCAGGAGAGTCCAGTGAATCGTTGCATGCATATTTGTGCATTGCCTCTGTAACTAATGTTTGTGTTTCCATGTTTTCATCTCTGCCAGGAGCGTTTTTGCTTTTTTCCCAGAAAAAGCTGGGAAAATTAAAACAGACTGATGAAGTAGAGGCCGACTGTGGCAGAAATCCTGCTGTGCTGCAGGTACGTTTGCTCTTCCTCAGCACATATTGTATAACGTGAACTCCCGACCTCCAATGTAGTCGAAATAAACAGCGTACTGAATTCTGTTCACTTCACAGCTTGTACAACAGTGGCACACTCTGGATGAAGCTAGCAGATCCAAATACTGCAGGAAGTCCTCCCACTGCCCGGAGCCGTCGCTGGGCCTGTTTAGGCCTGATGTCTTCTTTGGATCAATCTCTGAAAACTTTCATGGCATCACAGAGAAATACCTGCAGAGCAGAGACACTGCGAACCAAGACAGACTGGACACACACAGGTATTCAGTGTCTGAATATTCAAATGGGGACAAATACCTATTACAGTTTTAGAGAATGCCTGTGCTTTGCTGATCAAAAGCACTTCATTTGATGATCATGAACTAGTGTGAGCACATCTAAAAGCAGAGAAACATCATAGCAAAGGAATGCAATGTTCATAGAAACCGCAAAAAACCCCAAGAGCGACATCGTAGACTCTACAGTCTTCAGTTACCATGTTAAAGTTCATGAGAGTTCAGATAGAAACATACTAAAAGGCTTGTTTGGCTCTTCTCTCTACAAAAGAACCACAGCATTGGTTAGCAAAGCTGCATCTGCACAAATGCCACACATCATATCAGGACAAGCATCAGACAAAGTGTTGGAGCGGTGATCATTTCCAGTTGCAGCCACAGGACCTGGACACCTTGCAGTGATCGAGCTGACCACAAACTGTGTATACAAAGTGCTCTTAGAGGGTTAGGCTGACAGTTTGGCCAAAATAGGGTTATGCAACAGAGCAGCATTCAGAGCACAGCAGCAAATCTAAACGAGAGCAGCTGAAAAAAGATAAAAGTGCTGGTACGCGCTCAAAGTCCACACTTGAGTGTGCCTGAAATTTACAAGAGCTGTGTGTAAACAAATGCCAAATACCAGCAAAGTAAGGTTGCCAAGAGGAGTGGTCCAAATATTTCTACACAGTAATGTGAAAGCCTGATAAAACTGTTCCTGTTAAAGAGGGATGCTCAGAGTCCTGGGAAAACCTGATCGAAAAGAAAGATCACAGAAGTGCATTTCTAATTAAACGAAGGACGAGAACCACCAAATAAAGTGATGACAGCACGTGTGAATGAAAACTGAGAGCTTTCTTTGTGTAATTCGAGGCTAAATATAGACAAAGGGGTTTTTACGCTCATGTACCTAGAACAGCTGGAAACAGCTGGGACAGATGATACTTGTGCAGGCTATAACTTTCTGTTTTTGTCCTCAGCCTTCGCCAGCTGCTGCATTATAAGTGGCAGCGTTCGCTGTGTGACCCAGGTGAAGCTGTGGGTCTGCTGGCAGCTCAGTCCATAGGTGAGCCCTCCACCCAGATGACTCTCAACACCTTCCACTTTGCTGGCAGAGGAGAGATGAACGTCACTTTGGGAATACCTCGGTAATGACTCGTCCTCATCGCAAATGTGGGGGCACAACAGTGTCATAGTGTCGTTAAAAGAGTCTTTGCACACTTTAATAAGCTTTTGCACTTGGTTGATTCAAAAGAAGTGTGGGCCGAAGGAAGCATGAGCTGCTGGTTGAACCAGTCGAACAACAATACGGCGGCTTGAAAAAATAGAATTACGGACAAAATTGCACACTCATTAATGAAATTGAGGAGTGGGCCAACACGTTACAGTTGTTTCCAGTTAGCTGTGTCTGCAAAGGGTTTTGTTAGGGGTGAACAGTTATCAAACACTCAGGTGAAGAAATGACACTCAGACAGTTCAGCAGGTAACGTCCACGGGTGAGAGCCCAACAAGACTCACACACCCCACACTTGTCTTGCATCTTTATTTATACACTCAGTATAGTGATGTCACATGGCAAAGCAAAGATAAAACAGGAACTTAGCTGCACGCTCTTCACTCGTGGGGAGAGAACATGCAGTTTCTGGAACTTAATCTAACAATAACAGCTTGTTTTCACAACTCATTGTGGTGTTGTGATGTGACTGTTCAGAGAGTTCATGATAGAAAGACGTTTGCATAAGCAGAAATAGTAAACACTTATCAGTATATCACTCAGTTGCATTTCATGACAATAAAACTTAAAAATCCTCTAACAGGTTTGGATCTCAATCAGACCCTTAAAATGATTTTAATGGCAAACTGTATTTTTTTATTTTTTTATTTTTTATTTTTTTGGCCTGTCCCGTTTGGCTCTTTTGCCATCAGAATTATTGTCTAAAGGCAAAGAAAGATGCCCAACGGATTTACTTTACCAAACTGACCATCCCAGCCTTGCCGTAATGGTCCATTTGATTCACCTTTTATTGTTTATTTTATTTTCACTTACTGAATACGGACAATAAGCTGTAGTGCCTCTTCACCTCACTGTGCAATACCTTTTGTGCAATACTTTTGTTAATAGTCAACGGTGCAATAGACCTCAATACTTGAAATGTGCAATTCACTTGTATTTTAATTTTTTATTCCTATTTATTCTATTTATCCCCTTTGTATATTTTATTTATATTTGTCTCTGTATTTATATATGTGTGTGTGTGTGTGTGTGTGTGTGTGTGCTTTGATAATATGAGTAGAGATGTTAACATATCGTTGCTTTAGAGAGGAAACAGCTTGGTATTATTATTTATATATCTCCTGCCTTCTCTAAATATATATATATATCTCCTATATGAGTTAGTTATTTATTACCTGTATATCTATGCTATCTCGTCTAAATGTGAGCTCAGGTATACTTGGCTAATGGTGAGCTGTGAGATATGTATGTATGTGTGTATATGTATGTATATGTATATATGTATGTATATATATGTATATGTAGTATGTATGTATATATATGTATATGTATATATAGCCAACTAACGGAGTTGCAGAAAGGTGCGACAAAGAAGGTGCATAAGAAATACAGCAAGCTGTCCATACCTGAGGCCTTGGAAACTGCCAAGCAAAGACTCACAGCCTTGGCCAGCCGCTTGAGGAGGTACACCAGAGAGATAGAAGGCAGGAGAATAAACCAGCTGTTCTCCACAGAACCAGCAAAGGTGTACTCTCAGTGGCAAGGGAACAATAAGAGAACAGCACCACCAAGGCTGGAGACGGAGCAATACTGGAAGAGCATATGGGAGAAGGACGCAACCCATAACGGCAATGCTCAGTGGCTAGTGGATCTGAGGGCAGACCACAGCGACCTCCCTGAACAGGGTCCAGTAACCATCACAGTGGCAGATATCCAAGAAAGGGTCTCCAGTATGAAGAGTTGGACAGCACCAGGGCCCGACATGGTTCACGCCTACTGGCTAAAGAAGCTGACTGCACTCCACGAGCGTCTGGCAGCACAAATGAACCAGCTGCTAGTTAACGAGAGACACCCGGAATGGCTAACCGAAGGTCGGACGGTCCTGATCCCCAAGGACCCCAAGAAGGGACCGGTCCCCTCCAACTACCGACCAATAACCTGCCTCAGTACTACATGGAAGCTCCTGTCAGGCATCATATCGGCTAAGATGAACAGGCACATGGGTCAATACATGAGCGGGACACAGAAAGGAATTGGCAAGAATACCAGAGGCGCAAAACACCAGCTACTGGTAGACAGAACAGTCAGCCGAGACTGCAAGACCAGACTGACCAACCTGTGCACTGCCTGGATTGATTACAAGAAGGCCTATGACTCAATGCCCCACAGCTGGATACTGGAATGCCTAGAATTGTACAAGATCAATGGGACCCTAAGAGCCTTCATCAGGAACTCAATGGGGATGTGGCGTACAACACTAGAGGCCAACTCCAAGCCCATAGCACAAGTCACCATCAAGTGCGGGATCTACCAAGGAGATGCTCTGTCCCCACTGCTGTTCTGCATAGGCCTGAACCCCCTCAGTGAGATCATTAACAAGACTGGCTACGGATACCGACTACGGAACGGAGCAGTTGTCAGCCACCTCCTGTACATGGATGACATCAAGCTGTATGCCAAGAGTGAACGAGACATCGATTCACTGATCCACACTACCAGGCTATACAGCAATGACATTGGAATGTCGTTCGGACTGGAGAAGTGTAGTCGGATGGTAACAAAGAGAGGGAAGGTAGTCAGAACTGAGGGGATTGAACTACCAGAAGGCAACATTGCAGACATAGAGGACAGTTACAAGTACCTGGGGATCCCGCAGGCAAATGGGAACCATGAAGAGGCCGCTAGAAAAGCTGCAACCACCAAGTACCTGCAGAGGGTCAGGCAAGTCCTGAGGAGTCAGCTGAATGGTAAGAACAAGATCCGGGCCATCAACACGTACGCCCTGCCCGTGATCAGGTACCCTGCTGGGGTAATAGGCTGGCCAAAGGAGGAGATAGAAGCCACTGACATAAAGACAAGAAAGCTCCTTACCATGCATGGAGGGTTTCACCCCAAGTCCAGCACCCTGAGGCTGTACGCTAAGCGGAAGGAAGGGGGCCGGGGACTGGTGAGTGTCAGCACCACAGTCCAGGATGAGACAACGAACATCCAAGAATACATTGGGAAGATGGCCCCAACTGACCGAGTGCTCAGTGAATACCTCAGGCAGCAGAAACCCAAGAAAGAGGAGGGAGACGAGGAACCATCATGGAAGGACAGGCCCCTGCACGGTATGTACCACCGGCAGATAGAGGAGGTGGCTGATATCCAGAAATCCTACCAGTGGCTGGACAAAGCTGGACTGAAAGACAGCACAGAGGCACTAATCATGGCAGCACAAGAACAAGCTCTGAGTACAAGATCCATAGAGGCTGGGGTCTATCACACCAGGCAAGACCCCAGGTGCAGGCTGTGTAAAGATGCCCCAGAGACAATCCAGCACATAACAGCAGGGTGCAAGATGCTAGCAGGCAAGGCATACATGGAACGCCATAACCAAGTGGCCGGCATAGTGTACAGGAACATCTGTGCCGAGTATAACCTGGAAGTCCCGAGGTCAAAATGGGAGATGCCCCCAAGGGTGGTGGAGAATGACCGAGCTAAGATCCTGTGGGACTTCCAGATACAGACGGACAAAATGGTGGTGGCTAACCAACCGGACATAGTGGTGGTAGACAAACAGAAGAAGACGGCCGTAGTGATCGATGTAGCGGTTCCGAATGACAGCAATATCAGGAAGAAGGAACACGAGAAGCTGGAGAAATACCAAGGGCTCAGAGAAGAGCTCGAGAGGATGAATATATATTATATATATTCTATTTATTATATATATATATATATTTATATTATATATTATATTATATATATATATATATATATGTATATATA